AAAAGAGAAACTGACTTTTTTAAGGGAAATAGACTCAAAATAATGTGTTCTCCCCTGCCTCCCCCCTTTGGAAGAGCTATCTTTCTTTCCCTCATAATCCCGCACAAAATTATAAACATACAGCACTAGATTAGAATTTGACTTCTGAGACAATGCCACTCAATCAAAAAGTGTGTTCTACTAGTTAGAAATCCTAGAAGATAGCCAACTTATTAAAGGCATTAAAAGCATGTTCCACTGAAGTCTGATCCTTACTTTCGACAGTTTTGTTCTGAGATAATTGCATCCAGCATGTTGTCAGACACTCGTCCATTTTCTTTCTGGTTCTCTAGCACAAATGTTTCTACTAATGAAAATTTGCACAATTCACATTAATAAAAGCCAGCCATGAACAGTGAAGCACAGCATGCCATCCAGTAAGCATTGTTGCATAGCCATTACTGTTAGCCTCCTGAAACAACTTTACCTCATGGTTTACTTGGAAGCTTAATAAAGGTCAGTTTGTGTTAAAGGCACATGCCATTTTTTTTTTAAAGGAGTCAGATCTCATTTGAGCCCTGATTTCTGAGTGCTTAAAAATATAGGCTTGTCATTTTTAACTGGTCAAGTTAGTTTTACCTGTAGCAATTCCTGCAAATCCTACTAAGTGCTACGGTAAGCAGAAGTCAGATAGGACAAGTTGGAGTTGCCCAGCAGTGAAGCACAGCAAAGGCAATAATAATAATAATAATAGTAATCATAAAATATGAACACCTCCAAATAAAGATGACATTTTCAGAAGAGCTTTAACTGAAAAATATTCCTGTCCACTTCTTCTGAATTCCAAAATACAAAAACCAGGGCATCCTTCTCACAGGGTATGCTTTGCTAGTGAAGATATCCACACAACGAACTAGTGCCTGTCCACACTTCCCTTTAAGAAACTGCTGCTAGTGCTTCCCTGTTCTGTAACTCCGAGTTATGCTAATTGATCTCCCCAGTATGGGTCAGGTAATAAATGCATTCTAAATTGATTATAGAGACATACCATACAGGGTTTTTAAACCAACCTCTGATCTTTAAATACTTTTAAGTTTCTACCAGAACAAGCCTCTAGAGGGGGCAAGGGGATTGGAGTTAAGAGACTCTGCTTAGGTCTTTACTGTCATTGATGTTTTCATTCTTTTATTTAAATTCCAAAGGCATTTGTGATGCACTCCAGGATCATAGGATCATGTTGAAACAAACTTAACAATTAAGTGAGGTACCTCACAGTCCTGTGTACAGCCTCCAAAGTGTGTGGTACCAAATAAGAAGAGACCAAATATTCCCCTCTCATGTCTGCTCCTATTTTGGAGTGGACACAACAATGGGTAGGAAGAAGCACCTGAAACTTTGAGTCCAGCACTGTTGTATCTCTATAAAACAAAACCAAGTCACCCTGTCAACCTACCAACATGAAGCTCCCCCCACATGGGCCAAGTAAGTTTCTTGGGGGCAAGGGAAGAAGCATGAACCATCAATGTTTGCCTCTATCAGTTTTACAAGACATTTTTTAATTGCTTGCCATAAGTACATCTAAGAACTACTTTTCTCTGATAATTAGATGCTACATAAATTCTTAGTCAACTAGCATTTTGTCTTCTTTTAAAAATGCATATGCAAGTAAAGGACAGGGCACATGATTAGGAAGTCACCTGTCCAGGGTACCATTTTCCCTTCAGTTACCTTGCTTTTGTCAGACATCCCAAGGGGCTGCATATCTCTGACAGACAATAATGAGCTGACAGCAGAACTTTAGCAATGTCTCCCAGATGATTCCTTTGCTCTGAACTGAGTGCAATGGCTCTGCCTTTAACATGTACAAGTAACGGAGAAGGGAGCATCTTAAGAAGCAGAAAGCTCCAGGAAGCCCAAGGCTGCAGGACTTTGAGAACTCAGTCACTGAAGCTCTGGAAATACTGCACATTTTGGGGTGTTTCTTTAGCATCCATCAAACCATATATGGACCTGACTATACCCACAGTCTTGTGCACATGCACCCTGAGGAATCACTACTGAGCCAGGGTGAGCAGTAGTGCTACCAGATACAGTATAAGAGCAAAGGTGAATAGAAGCAGCAAGCGCCATACTGGAAAAATGAGCTTGGCCAAACTGCCCTTCTGCACACTCTCACTGTCCTCTCCTAAATCTTTTGTTGTAAATGCACCATTTGACCCGAGCCAGCAGGCCCATCTCCACAGAACACACCAGCCTGTTTTTAGCCCTTCTTGCCAAACTCCAGCACAAGGAAATTCAGCGTTGAGTACCACAGCCAATACTCCACTTTGACTATTCTGTTCCAAGCCAAGCTGAAAAATAGCTCCAACAGAGGAAAAGACAATACCTTTCATTTAATAAAGTTATTCCGTATGCGGCAAGCATTATAAAGCTCATATCTCTTCAGAGAAACTCAACATAGTTATCCTGGGCTGTTATTCTGTTCATTGTGCCCACTTAGTTTCTATTTTTAACAACAGGCCAGGACTGGGGTCACTTAGGTGGGGAGGAACAGGGCAGAAGAGGGAGAAAAAGGAGTGGGGGGAAGGGTTATCCTTGCCAAGAAAAATAAGACCCCAATCCATGGCTAGTTCCTTTAGGCACTAACGGTACAAACAATAATCATCAAGTTCTTTCTTGTGTCTCCATTACCTCAGATCAAATTTCAGTCTCTTCCCCTACTATATTGTTCCACCACCAGAGAACCTGTATCACCTCCACACTCCTCTTCTCTCTCCACACCAGTTAATTTGATCAATCAGTAACACAGATTTACTAAGAGTAAACTGACAGCTTCTTCACTTCTCAGCTTCATCTTCTGGGGGAAAAGGCAGAAATGCCAAACAGAAGTCAACAGAGGAGGTCGGGGAATGAGGTGTTCTGCATTCCTTTTCCAGGTTCTAGAAAGTAGGGTTGCCAACATGAAAAGAAAAACCCTTTTCCCATTTTTATCTTGGTAAAGACACTAACATCCACACCCCCTCCAAGACTGAATATGCAAACTCCAGCTGCATCCTCTGCCTCAGCATTCTGGCATTTGGAAAAAGCCCAAACTTACAAAGTTGGTCTAATAAAAGGTATCAGATTCATCCAAAGAGCCTTGTAAACCTACAAAGGACACTTCTATCAATTAGCCACAAGGGGGAGCATTCAGTTCAACACAATCTCTATTGTGAAAGCCCGTTTCCTTTCATTGAAAGAGAGTAAGATGTAAAATGAATGTATTTTTACTTCTTTAGATGTTTTCCCAGTACATGTAAGAGTCATTTATTCAGAAAGTCCACAGTCCCAGCCAAATGTAGTAGCTGTGGTATATCCACTACAGCAGGCTGCAAACAGCAAAACTTCCCTCAGTTGCTGCTACTCTCCCTTCTATCCATCTTTACCACCCAAAACATGTATGTGGCACATTTGGCTATACCCTGGCGTATCTTCAGTGCCTGGGCCCCACCCCTCCAGTTATATTTGCAGAGTTATATTTTTGATGTGTGTGACTGGTTCTAGTGTGAGGAAAAAAAGCAAAGGCAACTTTAAAGCCTCCCTTCAGTAGAGAAACCATGGAGCATGGAGGGAGGGAGTGGGAGAGGACAGGGGAGTGGAGAGAGAGTTGCTGCTGCCCTGGGTGTGAAAGCTAATCAACTATACCTCTACCTTTATTCCTCCCCTAATTGGTTCCTTTGAACAAGACCATTTCCCAGTTCTTTTGCATTTAACTGCTCTGGTTAAAATTCCAACCATAATGATATCCTTGTCAGAATTTCCCATGACCTTGCTACTTCACCCCAAAGTCTGATTCAGAAGTGTTCTGCAGTCAGAAGGTACTACCAGGAGTCACCCCTCTCCACTCAGTGAAGCCCAGCCCTAGGGGCCTGATTTTTTCCATATTACATCTTGCATATTTTTTTTATACCCCAGAGAGTCTTAGATCAAAAAATGCTGCTTGCTACTGGAATGCAGAATTCTACCATGGTCCAATTTTGCACAAGTGTAAAAGGCATTAAGGGTGAGGGTATGAAGAACAGGCCACTTGCTGTTACTTTCAACCATTAAGAACTGCAAGTCAGCAACAAGAACAGATGCCTGTTTCACCAGTGTAGTCAGATGACACATTCTTACTATGCCCCACTTGCTGAAGGATATTGTTGTGGTGATGGACTTAGGTTCTGGCGAGGCAGATGGTCCCCTGAAAAAAAGCTCTAACTGGCTTTATTTAGGAGTAGCTCTATCTTGCACAGTGGTGTTGTTCAAAACTCAAATGACTACAAATTAAGGGAGACATAAAGGAGCTTTATATCTTTGTCTTTTGCCCCCCTACTCACAGCTTTCCCAAGTCAGTCATGATGAGGCTCTTCCACTAAATGAAAGTGATGCAGTAACTCCTAAATACACATGAAAAGAGAGTCACAAAAAGGGCTCAATGCCATCACACCACTTTTCAAGCTGGAAAACTATATAGGTAAACAAGTCATTAAGGCACAGCCACTTAGGTTGCTGTTACAGTATAGTACAGTACATTCTCCAGAAGTGGTGCACCAAGTATTTAGCCACAGGACTCCATGCTGTCTGTCTCCTAAGCACCACTCTGAAATTTCACTCCACTCTGAGATATTTATAGTTTTTCTCCCTTTTTGAGCTCAGCATAGTGATCATGAAAGAAGAAAGTACTTGAGCTTTAAATAAACATTATAATATGCATTGCCAGCTGTCTATAAGCTGAGTGATTAAGGCTTTGTGTCTCTGCTATACCTTTTGCCTATATTGGGTGAATTGTGTGGATGCCACAAATGAAAGAACATATGGGAAAGGTCCAAGACATGTGGCAGGATAAAAGTTGTTTTCAGTATTAAATTATTTATATACACTAACAGTAATGAACTTGCAGTTTTCATTGCAAAGCCTTAAAAAGAACAATATAAAGGCAGATGGTGTCTATGGCAATAAACAGATTATTTACTGTGTCAAAGTAACAAAGCATTACGTACCTTCTGCTTCATCAATTACAGCTTATTGACCTATGGAGCTGCATGCTTATGAGTCAAACTCTGGTGCTTGCTTGCCTGGTGACTACGAGGTACTGAAATAGAGAGCAACCATTAGCAAAAAGCAGAGACTGCTGCTGCCACTGGGTCCCTCAGGCAAGATTAACTTGTTAACTATAGCCATCCAAGTTGCATTAAAAAATGGCAATCAGCCTTTATATATAGCTGTGAAGGGAAGAGATAAAAGAAAATGAAGCTGGACACAAGATAAGGGCCTAATCCAAAGTCAGTTACACAAGCATCTCTTTTAAATAGGAGGCACTAGCATTCTGTAATGACCAGATCACTGAGTTGTTCATTCAATCATAGTTTAATATATAGTAGCAGTGGAGTAATTCTACAGCAGTTTATACCTTCAAAAGAGCTCCTTCTCTGTCATTAGCTGGTCACAGAAAGACCTTAGCCAACTTGGTTCTACTATCCAAGCTAGGCACAATTTTTAGAGTTCAGTAAAACTCTATTATAAAATGTATGAAAGCACTATTCTGTTGAATAAACAGCCCCTTACTCTCAGCATCTGAAAAATAACTGAAGTCAACACAATCATCATTTGTGTTTCATGGAGCAAGCAGCTGGGATGAGTAGTGAGAAGTATCTTGGCTCTGTTCCCCAATACAGTCAACATAAAAAGAAAATACTGTCCCACTACCCTAGCATGCAAATACCATGCCTTGCCAGAACACAGGTGAGACCAGGTTAATGCCACTGCATGCTGAGTCATTCTAGGTATTTACACTGATTTGTGAAATTGCTGTTTCTTCCACCGTGACTATTCAATGTCCATTCACTGAAGCTGTTATGCAGATGATGTAGGAATGTTGGCTGGCCCAGAAAATAACATACTGATCTGTTTCACTTTTTTGCACTACCAGTTTTATCTAATGAGTTTCTTCAATCTTACAAGCATGCTGCTTTTTGCTTGTGGACAAGAGAGAAGAAAAATGCTTTCTTCCCTTCTCCCTCCCCCTTCTGCCTTTGGAGAAACTCTTGTGAAAGTAGCAGATTTTATGCTGGGAAGGGAAATGAACCTGTATTTGAGCAGGGAATAAGTGTAATAGGAGCAACAACACAAAAGTTTCTCCACCCTGAGTGAACTACATGAGACAGTTACTGTGGAGTTTAGTTGCCTAATTAGCTCTTCAGTAAAATCTCAGAGTCTACACATGCAGCCCTATTAGTAAACTGTAGTAAACTAATAAATGCCACTGTACTTGTCAATACAAGTGTAAATGGGGTGGCATTTAGTGCACCACAATGCACATGTAGATGTTGATGGGGCTGATTGGGCTGGCGAGCCCTGTACGGAACAGCCTCATGCCCCAGTCAGCCCCTCCATAGCACATTGGGTCAAAGCAGCTGAGGGCTTAACATGTTGCAGTCCTGAGTGCACATATAAACACAGCACCCGGGAACAATAAACTCTGGTGCAAACTACACTGGAGTTTTTTCCCTTCGCACTAATTGCATGTGTAGACGTACCCAGTGGCCTGCAAATCACAGAAGAAATAGGACTGAAAAGGACCTTATTACATCATCTAGCTCAAGCCTCCACTCAAGGCAGAATTATCCCTTCTGAAACATCTCAGCTAAATGTTTCCTAACACAAACTCCTTACATCTTAATAGAAGCTATCACTATACAGGTGAAAACACTTTGTATCTCATTAAAGGCCTTTGGCCGCTCACTGAAGTTCTCAATTATGATGCAGTTCACTCAGCACTAGAAACAAGACTGACTACAATTTCATACAATTCACTTAAGTTTTTATGATTCGATGGATGTTGTAATTTACAAGCCCCAGCCACATTTCTTTCTTTAACAATTTTATAAGGCTGTTTTAAGATTAAATTATAAAAGAGTTCAAGTTCTTGAGGAAATGAAGGAAAAGGCAGTAGAATAAAGGTGCTAGCCTTCAGAAAAGCGAATTTTGACAAACTTGGGAAAATGATGGGCAGGAGTCCATTGGGGTAAAGTCTGACAGGAGAAGAAATATAGAAGGGCTGTTTGTACCTTAAAGGAAGAATATTAAGGGCACAAGAACAATATCCCAACAAGAAGAAAGGATGTAAAGTGAATGAAGAGACTGGCTTTAGTAAATTGGAACTCAAAAAAGGAACCTTAACAAAAAGTGAAACTTTTTATACTAGGGAATAGTAGGGAGGAACAAGGGAATCATATGGGCATGCAGGGAGAAAGTCAGGAAGGCCAAGGCACAGACTGAGATGCAGCTAGCAAGAAATGTAAAACAAAAAGATCATACTATAAATATGTCAGAAAAGGAAGATCAAGGAAAGGATAGGTCCCTTCCTGGACAATTAGGGCAACCCAAAAACATGCAGGCTTGGATGTTTTTGAGAAGGCTGAATTAATGCCTTTTTTCCCTTCAGTCTTCACTAATAAGGTTGGCTACCACTTGATAAGCACATCTGGTAGAAAAAAAATAGGAGAATCAATAGGTAGAAAAAAATAGAGCACGTAAGGTGCCACCAGGTCCTTTAAGGCATACCTCAAGGTGTGAGGAGAACCAGATAAATGCAGGCCCAAGCTTGTCCCTGCCTGGGTGATTGCCCATCCCCACTGCCGAGCACCTCTGCAAGAAGGTAAGTACTGTAATAAACTTATTTTTGAAATCAGGTACCACTCAATTCACCAAAGTTATTGAGAGATGCCTTGATTCCCAAGAGGTTTAAAACCACTGGCCTAGAGTAAGGAAAGAGTTGGTTAGAGATAATACTGCATCAGCTGCTTTCATGTCATCAGGGCCTGCTTTCAGGCCAGCAGAGATTCGCCCTAGGTGTACTCAAGGAACTGGCCAAGGTTATCGCAGAGACATTGGCTATTATCTTTGAAAATTGTGGCAGTAGTAAGGTCCCAGATAACTGGAAAAAGAAGCAAATATAGTTTAAATCATCAAGGCATCTAACTGGAGAACAAGGTAATAAGCAACAGCCAACATAGATTTATCAAGAGCAAGTCATGACTGACGGACCTGATTTCCTTCTATGAAAAGGTACTGGGCTTTGTGAACCAGGGAGGGGAAGCAAAGGATGCAAATACCTCAACTCCAGCAAGACTTTTGACTCTTTCATGACATTGTTATTAGGAACAAAGACAATTACCTAGACAATTATTTCTGTTTAATATTACTGTAAGGTGGTTGTGTAACTGATCAGATCACTGTGATCAAGGAGCAGTCATCAATGGATGGCTATCTATTTGGAAGAAGGTATTGAGTGGGGTTCCCCAGTGCTTTGTGCTAGACCCAACACTGTTCAAGGTGTTCATAATGATTAGGAAGACGGGATCAAGCACAAACTTAACTAATTTGCATATGATACCAAGTTGGATTGAGTTGCAGATGTTCTGGAGGGTAGGATTCATAATAACCTGGACAAACTGGAAAACCTGTTCACGATAAAGAAAAAAAATCAGATGTAATTCTACCAGGAAAAGTGTAAAGTCCTGCACTTGGGACAAAATAATTGCATGAACAAATAAGGAATGACCAACTAGGCTATAGTACTACAATAAAAGGACTTTGTGGGGGGGGAAGGCATTACAGAAGACTATAAAATTAAGTTGTAAGTCAGTGTGCTCTTGTTGCAAAAGCAAAAAAAAAAATCAGCATACTGGGCTGTATTAGTGATAGCATCATATCCAAATCAAGCAAAGTGATTCCTGAAGGCTTTGTCAACTTTTGGGTACCTCACTTCAAGACAAACAAGGACACACTAGAGTGCAGTGGAGAGCAATGAAACTGATTACAGATCTAGGAAACATGATTTACAAGAAAAAGCTGAAAGAACTGGGATTGGAGAAGACAAGACTGAGGAAGAATTGATAATAGCCTTCAAATAACTGAAGACTGATTATGCAAAGGATAGAAATACTGTTCTCTGTGACTGAAGAGGACAGCACTAGGAGCACTGGTCTTAAATTGCAAAATAAGTTTAGACTGGGTATTAGGAAGAACTTTCTCACAATAACCATATAGTTAAGCTTTGGAACAGTCTACCCATTCTACTCCTGTCACATCACTTTGACAAAACCTTACTCACCTTACTTCATTCTACGGCCAAAGAGAGAGCACAAACCCAATTAGTTCTCCTTTTCAGGTCACCATTAAGACTGTAAGAACATTCCTTTTGCGTTTTTCCCTGATACAGGTGTACACTACACATGTAAGAAAAATGCACTTGCCTGCCAGTTTTCTGCTAAAGCTGGAATATGTTTGTTCTGTTCTGAACACGGATTTGAATTCTACATTCCAGTTGGATTGAAACCTATATACTTGCTAGAATATTATTAGCTTTCAGCCACTCTTACAAGCCATATTAAACTTTGGCATTTGAAATGCCATTTTTTCTTGGACAGATGACAGGAAAATCCTAGGTCCCTTTTCTCTAGGCAGTATGTTAAGATTACTGCAGTTGGAAAGATGAGACAGTACCACTTGCTAGACAAGGAAACATAAACCAGCTTTTCTGAGGCATCGTCCTACCACTCTGCAACAGTGTATTTTGCTGGGATATTTTAAACAGATATGAAGCAACAATCTTTGCTGCTTAGGTCCCCCATTATTGTAGTAGCCTCAGAGCACCATAGAACAGAGTGCAATTCTGTTCTACAGGTCAAACAGAGACAGACACTAAGGCTTTGTCTCTGCTTAGGTTTTATAGAATAGTTACATCTGATCAGGGTTGTTTAAATAAACAAACAATCAAACAAAAACCCTTGGTCTTTGACCCTATGATCTTTTGCCATAGCCAGACAAAGCTCTAGGGTGGATGCACATTTAGCTATATAAAGCTTTGCACCAGCACAGCTTACCTTGGTTTCCTGAATGCAATAAAAATTGGTAGTCGGCTCTACTTACTGGCTATATGTTCCAGAACAGGGAATGAGGAAGATTTGGAAAACAGAAGCAGAGGTAGAAAGAAGTGTGCCATTAGGTTAAATTTCCCTATCAGTAGATAGAAGCAAACAGGAAAGATAAAGTGCTTGAAATTGCCCTCAGACTGACACTGGGGCAGAACTTCCATCTAAGGCTAGAAATAAAGGTCACCAAGTGAAGTAAATCAGCTGTTCTGGGATGTTTCTCAACACAGCCAATCTGCTTCATTGGGCAGCAC